TTAATATCAAAACCGTTAACTTTAACTTTAGTAAAGATATTAAAGTAATTTTATGTGTAATATAGTTTTATTACATAAAATTGTTTTCTTTAAACTACAATAGTTTGAAAAAAAATAACATATTAATAAAAAAATAACAAGCGTGTGTCAAAGTAAAAATAAATGAGGACATATCAGTACGAGAAAGTACATATCTAAGAAATGTTTGCTTCATTTTTTAAATCTATATAAAATATAAGATAAATTCCATATTGGCTCACCAAAGTTTGGTGAAAAGGCATAGACATGATAAGTTTCAAATGAGTTTTATAAAAGTTAAGTGGAGTTCTTGAGAATCTTAGGGGAAATTTACAAAGATTTTCATTATTTTAAAGGAGATATTTATAAATTAATAAATCTTTAGGGAGGCCAATACAATTTTCTCTTCAAAAAAATATATACGTACTAATCATGGACATATTAAATATGGGCACCAGTAATTAATTTGAGTGTGTATCTTATTGGTTAAATTTTAAAAGTTTGATAAATAAATAAATATAAGAAAAATCAATGAAAATTGATATTAAACATAATTAGGAATAAATACCCAAATATTTTTAATATCAATGGAATTCAAATTATCATCAATTCATCATAAATCATATTAAAAAAATATAGATATTCATAATGGGACAATACCAAAAACTCTCCCAATCAACCTGTCCCGTTGTGGCCCAGATAGCAAGCCTTTTAGCCATTGTGGTTAGTTATATTCAGGGAACTTGTGCTTAAATCCCAGGAGAGATACCTACCACATTAAGCTTATAAGGTATTCTATGACCCTGAAGATTAAGTGAGCTCGTTGACAATCTGTCTAGATACCTCAATTATTAAAAAAAAAAAAAAAAAAAAAGAATGAAGCAAAGATATTGCTTCACCATTAGCATTTTTTGTCTCTTTTAATTGCAATTGAAAGATTCTCTTCCTATCTTTGGCTTTCTTAAAGCCAAAGTTCATAGCAACATTGAGTGATCAAACTCCATGACTAAGACCACCACTCAAAGATTCACCTTAACTATTAGATTGACACTATCTCTGCAAAACCCTTTTGGCCACAACCAAATGGATTTGCCGCCGACCAGTAGCAAGCTTTGAAACGAACCAAATTAAAGATTATTATAGATTATTTCTCCCACCATTTAATTTGATTTTGATTTTTTTTTTTTTTTTTCTATTTTATGAAAAAGTATTAGTCCTCTTAGCTTTTTGCAAGCATGGTTGAGATTAAAGGACCACAATATTTGTGTCATTTCCCATCATAACTTTGCCATCCCTAGAGCATATGGCTTGTCTTTAAGGCTCAAAAAGGGGCACTCAACAAGTTCTTTTGATTGAATATTGTAGAATATTTCCTTATCCTTGGGGTTCCTATTGTGGTATGAGATTGTACACGTTATCGATCTTTAGGAATCTTTTGATAATATAATAACAGTATATAAACATTTAACAAAATTTTACCTTTATTATACAATAACTGCATTTTTGAGATGTAGATATAAGAATGGAATTCAGAAATCGCATTTGGGACATCAAAGTTAACATTCAACAAATAAAGGATTTAAATGTGTATGCTTATTTATAGTGATAATGACCACCACTTCGAACCTTTACATAGCTTCGTCTTTGTGTCAATTATAATTGTAATTTTTGTTCATAAGAATTTTCAAGAAAAGTATGTGGACCTCTAATAAAGCTTTAAGGTTCGACTAACTCAATAATATTATCAAACCGATATTGTAATATAACTCATAAAATCATCAACCCATATCTCAATTATTCTTTTATATCTAAAACAAAGTGAGTTTAATCCCTTAGTTTTGAACTTGGGGATTCATGGGTTCATTAAATTTTTTTCTGGAGAAATCTTAGAAGAAACGTTTGTGGGTGAAATTATTGTCAAGAATCTTTGCTATAAGTATTTAGGTTTATGTCTAGATCGATCATGATTTGTTTGAAGAAAATAGTAAACCTAGCTCTTTAACTCCACATATGGTTTGGCACATGGCATATAAATTGTGAAATAATGTCAATTCAATTGTGGGTTTTTCTAAAGGCAAATGATTGATGATTCATTTTGGGCCTTGTCACTTGTACCATATTAACAAGAAATTCATGATGTAAACTTATAATTAAGACTAATATTTATCCAATTATTAGTTCAAGGGGTAATGAATTATCACCCGAAAATTGTACATCTGATTAGCGTTGATTTGAGATTAACATGTACATATGCAATTCAGTAATGCTAGACTTTCCAACCCAACTACCGATTTGACATACTGACTCATGTGAATTGAGTCAAATTTTGAGATTTGGGTAGTTGGGTAGGTGGGTCGGTATGTCAAAATCGGTAATTGGGTCGGTAAGTCTAGCATTACTGTATGCAATTATGACATTCTTTTTCTGGTCCTAACTAAAACAATGTCATATCCCCCGAATACGCTATAATAATACCAGATTTGCAAAACCTCCCTCGATAAGTATTACTTGCTTTTTGCACCATTCATTAGGTACACATTATTCAAATAGCAAAATAAAATATGGTGGTCTGAAATCTCAATCTTGCCAAACCAAACCCATAAGTTCGGCATTGACCTCAATTGATTTCATAACCTTTTGCGATTTATTCATTCTAACTTTAGTTTGAGAAGCTTCCCTTTTTATCCTAAAAGTAAACTATTTTATTCTAATGGAATGGCCTCTTTTGTGCACCTCCAATCGATTCATGATGTTGTTTGTTGTTGCACTTTCACAAGAGATATACTGTGGGGTCCTTTTTGAAATACTGGAATCTATTTCTGTGGCCCAGTGTAATTTTCATAAAATTAAAATCTTAATGGATAAGTCAGCATCAGCTAGTGGGTTCTGCTCGCGTAGGTTCGAGTCCGGCCGCTCACGCACGCTTGCTCTCACTTTCACAACTTTCTTTTCTTTACAACTAGGTCCAAAACAGTAAAGGAATCCATTCTCTAATGCACGAGCCATTGATAGGACAAATGTTTGTGTGTCTGTCCAATCACAATACAACGAGTGTTTGTACTTTTTTTTTTAACTATGAGGTCCAAAATGATATCGGGATCTATTGTCTAATGTATAAGACTTTGATAGGATGTATACAACCTCTATTAACTTCATTTTCTTCAAAATTAGGTCCGAAACCAAAAAAGGATCCATTCCATACTTTGTAAGCCTTTGGTAGGACAACCTGTGCACAAACACTCGTCATAACTTCTTTTTCTTTACAATTAGTTCCGAAACGATAAGGTACCCATTCTCTAATGTTTAAGTCTTCAATTTCTGTTCTTTAATTGTGGGTTCTGAGATATTAAAAAAAAAAAAAANTCTGGAAAGATAATGCTCATCTATTTCCCAAATAGGATCATCAAGGTAGTCCGAGCATTGACAGTCAAGATCAAATGGAGTATGACCAGTGACTAGATCAAATTGATGATAGACATGAGCACCAGATTGTTGAAATGAATGAATGGAAAGTCCAGGTTCCCGTAGTGTTGTCGTCGTAAGACTGGAGTGATCATGAATTGAGTTTGTCGAAAACTCAAAGGTGGAGCACTAGGAGTTGCTGGAGACTTGAATCTGATAGTTGTTATTTTGTCACTGTTATCATGCATGGTAGATTCTATAGAAACCATTGACTTTTTTTTTTTTTTTTTTTTTTTAGATAATCAGGGGTTTCCAAGCTAGCTTGTGTGTATCTCGACTAATCCTCCGAGATCATGAAGTTAACAACTGGGTAAACCCTTCAGTGACCACCCTTATTAAAAACCAAGGGAAATCGAACTCAAAACCTCTTGAATAATATACTCAAGAGTCTCTATCGTCCCACCTAACCATAAGGGGTGGTTTACACTTTATGTCTTACATTGGCATTCTTTTAATCTTTTCAATAACAAATCATTACTTTCTCTTTTCCCCTATCATATCTTCTCAATTCTTCTTCTTATCATGTCATTCTTGGATTCTCACCATAAAGCCAAAAAGATAATCCTCTTCAAGAATCCCTATGAGTTTTTTTTCTACTAGAAAACTGAAATGATAGCTTTAGGGATAACAAAAATTGAAGGCCACTAGTGTATTATGCATGGCATTGATGAGATTGGACAAATTCTGACCCATTTTTCTATATGAAACCAAACTCATTGGTGGTAAGAACAGAATGATTGGTTCCTAATAGGGCTTGTTTTTGGAGTGAGTGATCAAGCCAATTTTGGGTGGACCATATATTTCAATTAGCTCTAATTTCTTATTGTTGATTACATTAACTTTGTACAAAGGGAGGTGCCTTTTTATTAATTATCAGAAAGTGTCATAATTCTCTTGCAAGAACTTAAGCATGATTTGAGAAGACAAAATTAAAGTAAACTACGGATTACTTGCTCTCCATTTCTCATAAATCTTTGTCGTTTTCTAACATCGATCCATTAAGTTTACTTGTTTTTTAATGAGAAAATCTTGATAGTTTAGCCGTTTTGTTCTTTAATTTATTTTATACATCAAATAACAATATTTATAAAGAGTGTTACACTTTTTTGATAAATTGAATATCTAAGTATATAATAGAAGTACATATATGATCTCTCGCCAAGATATTTACACATTAATTTTGCATGACCAACCAAAGGAAGTATGGTGACCTATTTGATGATCATATCACACTATTAAAAGAGGGTAACATGAGGCAATATATATGGCTGGTCATTGCTTTTGGTGTTCTTAAGTAGAGACACATCAAAGCAAGTGATTTCATCTAGATCTCCTCATAGTTCATAGTTTCATACTTGAGTCCTTTTTTTGTTTTCTTTCTTTCTCTCTCTCTTTGCGGGCAACTTTTAGCGGTTAACATTTACAACAATCAATCAATCAGTCATCATCATAAAAATCATAACCATCTTAGAGAAGTGCACCAACTCTAGCTGAAAGAGAATACATCAATTAATGCAATTAAAACTCATCAAAACATGCCAATTTCTGCCTTCCACACCTCTGCCAAATGCTCAAATCTCTGCCACTCTGATCTAAATGCACTTAACTTCTGAGTCTGTGTCATTCCAACAGGCCAAAAAGCAAAGTGGGCTCAAATCAAACTCACCACAATTTTGATAAGGTTCACACTTAGCCCAAACCCCTCTTGCTCCCTTTTTCATGTTCTTTATTAGACAAGTACTTGTTTGTTCTCTGAAAAAATTGATTGATAAACTGAGAATTGCAGAGCCAAAATAAGCCATAACCTCTTTCATTTCTCATCCATGGAACCAAATTCTAGCACCAACACCACCGTGCACCACCACCACCGCCATGATTCCGAGCATTGCAGCTTGGAAATAACAACAATGGAGGTGCACAGAGTGGTGCCACCACCCCCTAAAACCACCATTCAGAAGCTCAAAACCAGGCTAAAGGAAACCTTTTTCCCTGATGACCCTTTGCGCCAGTTCAAAGGCCAGTCTTTAAAGAAGAAATGGATCCTTGCAGCTCAATACATCTTCCCTATCCTTGAATGGGGTCCCAATTACAACTTCAAGCTCTTCAAATCCGATATCGTCTCCGGCCTCACCATTGCCAGCTTGGCCATCCCTCAGGTCACAAACTTTATTTCATTTCTATATATAACAACTCTATTTTCTCATCATATTTTTCTTCTTCAGGGTATCAGTTATGCTAAACTCGCCAGTCTGCCTCCAATAGTTGGCCTCTGTGAGTAATTCTTTTAGAGATTCTTTTATTACTTCATGAAAAAACAAAAGTGTCTGATGAAATTTCTTTTACTTTTTATATGATTTGTTTAGATTCTAGCTTTGTGCCACCTCTTGTTTATGCGGTTCTTGGAAGCTCACGGGACCTTGCAGTCGGGCCAGTTTCCATTGCTTCTCTGATTCTGGGATCAATGCTCGGCCAAGAAGTTTCTCCCGCAAAACACCCTGTTTTGTTTCTTCAACTGGCGTTTACTGCAACTTTCTTTGCCGGTGTTGTTCAAGCTTCTCTGGGATTTTTGAGGTGAAAGTTTGTGTATATATCTTTTGGTCATGAAAAAGAAAAAAACCCTTTTGAAGAATTGATGGAGTTATATATATTTGATGCAGGCTTGGGTTTATAATTGATTTTCTTTCAAAGGCGATTCTTATTGGATTCATGGCGGGAGCTGCCATTATTGTTTCTCTGCAACAGCTTAAAAGCCTCCTTGGAATCACTCATTTCACTCAACAAATGGGTGTGGTTCCTGTAATGAGTTCTGTTTTTCATACAACTAATGAGGTAATTAGTTATTAATTAAAGTTAATTAACAAAAAATCTCTTAAAATTTCTGAAATACCAAAAAAAACAACCCTTACTATTAAGTTTTTAAAATATATGATTGGAGGACCCTTTGGTAAATATATATAAATTTAATAACTCATTAACAATCCACTTATTATATTATATTCTGATTGTCTTACCATATACACTATATTCTGATTGCCTTGCCATATAAATTATAAAGGTAAAAACTATTTGTACAATCTCTCATATAAACAGAGTTTGTACAAACTGACGTAATACGTCAAATGAATGCCACGTGACATAAGGGCTCACATGACATTAATGTGACATTAAGTTATGTGGTCCCCAATGCTACGTGACATGATATGTGATGTGTCACGTCAGTTTGTACAAACTCTCTTTGTACGAAAGTTTATACATATAACATTACCCAAATTATAATTAAGCAACTATAAAATAAAAACACATCATTTGGGATAAAAAAAAAATCGAGAAAATAATGTTAAATAATAATGTTGGTTGTATGTGAAATATATTCATATTACATAATTATTATTATTATTTTTGGGTTTTTGCAGTGGTCATGGCAAACAATAGTTATGGGGTTTTGCTTTCTGGTGTTCCTTCTTGTAACAAGACATGTTGTAAGTTCTATCCTTCTCTTGAACCTCATCTCCTTTGCCTCCCTCACCCTCTCTTTCTCTTTTTAATAATATTTATTTAAATTGTATCGTTTTGTTTTATAAAATATTATATATATATAAAAAAAAAACTTTTATATACAGGGGTTTTAGCATAATGAATAATAAGAAAGTAATAAAAGTACTCAAATTCTTTATAAAACGAATTAAAAAATGAATAATAATAAAAGTTGTAAAGCTCTATGGTTGATAAGAACCAATAATAATTTTTCTCAACCTGCATGAATGAAACGTGTCATGTATTGCTATGGTTGCTTTGCTTCTATGAAGTGGAAATTCTATAGTGTAGTCAAACTCAGAGAGCTGTCATAAAATACTTTTCATTTTGGCTTTCGCTTAATTTGCTCCTGCATATGATATATCGACTTATTTTAACAACAATATTTTATAAAAAAATATTCTGAAAATGAATAAATAAATAAAAAGAAAATTGGGAGTTTTAAAGTTGATAATATAAGAAAGTTGATAAAAAGAAGATTGCGGACTAATTTGAATAAGGTTGTAAAGTCTTGACTCAACAAAACTGTAAGGTTGAATAGATTTAAAGTGGACAATATCTATTAATAAAGAAGAAAAAAACAAAACCAGGAGGTCCTATAATGCTAAAGTGCTATTTACAACAAATTAATTAATTTTTGTTTTAAAACAAAAATTTTTTTAATGAAAAAAATAGTATATTTGACTATTTCACTGTTTGTCTTCTCTGAAATTTGAATTTTCCTTTAATTTGATCAAAGGTGGGTTATATGCACCCTAAATTTTACTCTTCATCCCACAATTTTTCTAAGTAATATAATTTTAAAAATAAGTTTTCTTGTCAATTACGGACAAAAAGATATGTATTATAAATAAATAACCTTATTTAATTTCTTATAAGAATGTTAAAAGATTTATTGATAACAGTTAATGACATCAGCATATATTGAGTTTTTTGCCATGGAATTTCAGGGTATTAAAAGACCAAAGCTCTTCTGGGTATCAGCTGGAGCCCCTCTTGTCTCTGTCATCATTTCTACTCTACTGGTTTTTGCATTCAAGGCTCAACATCATGGCATCAGCATAGTGAGTTTTTGGGTCTTACCTTTCAATTAATTCCAATATGAATAATATGATATATTTGTCTCACTTCGTATTGACAACACTTGGTATGTTACTGTTGTAAGATTGGGAAATTGCAAGAAGGACTAAATCCCCCTTCATGGAATATGTTGACGTTTCATGGAAACCATTTGGGATTAGTCATGAAAACTGGGCTTGTCACTGGCATTATTTCTCTCACTGTAAGTTTTAACTTTACTCTTCTTGATTTTTGAATTGTTATCCCAACTTTGCAAGTATAGCTTTGTCAAAACTTATTAATATAACAGCAGCTGGATGGTAAGACTTACATGTATGAAGTCCACAATGATCACTGGCCTGCAGTCTATAATTTGTGTTTAATTGTACTTTTCATTAATGTAGTCTTGTTCAAGTTTTTGCACAAACGAGAGCTCCAATTCGCTAATGCGAAATCACGAGAAGTTTTACCGTATGTTTTCTGTTGAACTATGCATTAAACAGGAAGGAATTGCAGTAGGAAGAACTTTTGCAGCTCTTAAGGATTATAAAGTTGATGGTAACAAGGAAATGATAGCAATTGGGCTAATGAACATGGTTGGCTCCTCCACTTCATGCTACATTACAACAGGTGCACATCAATTTGCATAAACCAAACAGGCATCATCATCTGAAGTAGTTCTAGTTTTAATTAGAATTTTGAATTGCAGGCGCCTTCTCGCGGTCTGCTGTCAATCACAACGCAGGCGCCAAAACAGCGGTGTCTAATGTGGTAATGTCGGTAACGGTTATGGTGACTCTCCTCTTCCTCATGCCACTCTTCCAATATACACCAAATGTTGTTCTGGGTGCCATCATAGTGTCAGCAGTGGTTGGCCTCATTGACATTCCGGCCGCTTATCAGATTTGGAAGATAGATAAATACGACTTTCTTGTTATGTTGTGTGCATTCTTTGGTGTCATTTTCATCTCTGTCCAAGATGGCCTTGCCATTGCAGTAAGTTCACAGCATGCTCAAACTTGAATGGACTTAATATGCCATCAAAATTTTACATATTGTTTCTTATAATATGCAATGCTGCTGGTGATTATGATGATCAGGTTGGGATATCGATTTTCAAGATCCTCCTACAAGTTACTAGGCCGAAAACAGTGATGTTGGGGAACATCCCCGGGACAGACGTTTACCGGAACCTTCACCATTACAAGGAAGCAATGAGGGTTCCTGGTTTTCTCATTTTAAGCATTGAAGCTCCAATCAACTTTGCAAACACTACATATCTAAATGAAAGGTAATTTGGTTATGACTTAGAATCTCTTATGTCATGATATCTTTAGCTTATGCATTGATTTTGATCCTGTTTCTTCGCATGTCCTATCGAAGGATTTTGCGTTGGATTGATGAATATGAAGCTGAAGAAGATTTGAAAAAGCAGTCAAGCCTTAGATTTGTGATTTTGGATATGTCAGGTAAGTTTTGTAATGCAAGCGTTTTATTATGGAGAAGAAGTCGTATAAGTTTTATTGGACTGACCCTTCTTCTATTCATATTTGTCTCTCAGCTGTCAGTGCCATTGACACAAGTGGAGTTTCTTTTTTCAAAGATTTAAGGAAAATAATGGAAAAGAAGGGTGTTCAGGCAAGCATAAACAAACTTTTACTCCTTTTATACGAGTATATCGCTAGATATTTGAACAATACGAACGTCCAATTCGTATAGAACCTATCAATAAAACTTCCCTCAAATAATAATAGGGTTAGACAGATCGAAAAAGGTTTTCCATGAGATCAGAAATGAAAACTATTAACCTTATAGAAATTTTATAAATAAGTGATTATCTAATAACGAATATATAATTCACTAAACACTTTGAATATCATCGAAAGTATCGTAAGTAAATTTTTTTCGATTATTCGTTCATTTGATAGTGATAGTGACCACTATTGGTGATGTCCACAGCTTGTGCTGGTGAATCCCCTGGCTGAAGTGATAGAAAAATTGCAAAGATCAGATGAAGCTGGAAATTTCAGAAGACCAGATAGCCTGTTCTTGACAGTTGGAGAGGCTGTGGCTTCACTTTCATCAACAATGAAAGGCCAGTCTTCCACCCATGTATGACAAGACAAGGATATTTGTATTGTTTTTGTACCCCAAATAATTCTTACTATAATTTTCCTTGTGATAGCTTGAAGAATTGTTAAAATTATTGGAAATATAGGTTAAGCAATCAGTAAATTTCCTAAAGCGAGGCTCTTGCTGCTTTTGTGCTTCATTGTGCCATGGTAAGCTTTCTTATAGGTTCATGTTTTCAAGGTTGAGCGGTGCTAATGTCAGCCACGTGACCGGACAGTAAAACTTTAGTCATCTAAGTGAGTTACCCGAAGGCTTGTGTTTGAGTTTACATTAGACTTATAAAGTATTCGATGGACCCCAAAAATGGTCCGAACACTCCAATTATAAAATAAAAAAATAAAACTCTCCTCACGTCATGCATAATAGAAAAGTATTCATTATTTTAAAATTTTCATTATATATGAGAATGCTTAGAAAAGAAATTTAGCATTGATTATTATAAAATCAATTATTTTGAAAATATCATATCACAAGTAATAGTCAAATTAAGATTATTAATTTTTCTCATATTATTAGTATTTGTGTTTATTTTAGTTTTTAAGTCAAATTGAGTCATAGTTATTTTTTTAATATTAATATAAAACAAATTTTCATTATATATTGATAAGAAAATGACTTAGGAGTTAATTTCAGTAGCCTCCTCTAACCTTTAGTGTAATACTAGAAATAGCTCTTGTAATTTGGGAATTATCATAGACCTCCTCTATAAGTACTCCCTAACTTTTTTCTAAATATTGTCGACCTCCCTTATATTACGAGAGCTCAATGATATTTACATATTTAAACGAGAGATAGGCATTAATGGGTCGTGTTCATGTTGTACCAAAATAGGAATATAAATAAGTTAATTTTTAAACATAATCCAACCCATTTAATTAATAAGCTCTTTATCGTAATCCAACAAATTTATTAAACAAGCTAAACTTATATAAAAAAATTATTTATTTTTATAAAAATTAATTAATTCATTTCATGATAATAAATTAATATTCTTTGATCATTTACACAAATTCTATTATTTGACAAATAAGCACAATTAACATTTTATATATTAGAAACTGACCACAAAAATATGATGTCAAATGATGATAAAAATAATCCTTACATTTATTAAAACAATTTGTTTAATATATATACAAGTCATATATGGGTTGGATTACATAAGTTAACCTAATAACCTTAATCAATCATATAACAATAATGTTTTACTTATAATTGAGTTATACAAACAGTTAAAAATTGTACAAAATTTATGTAAAATTACTATTTTGTCTTTTTTTTTTCTCTGTTTGTATAACTCAATTGTAAGCATAACATTACTCATCATATAATTAGACAAATTATCGGCTTTTAACTCTATGCTATCTCGCCATATCTCAAATTATCACCTCTTTATAGGAGAGATTAGAGAATTTTCAAAATATATGAGGTAATTATGCAATTATATAAAAGCTCAGGGATGTCAATTAGCCGTTTAAAAAAGAGTTAATAGGTTTACTTTTTTCACAAGAGGATAACTAATTATAATTACTGGTTAGTGATTAGTATCATTTGCCCACACAAAGTCCATTTTGCCCTTAAACTGATAAATTAAAATTTGGGAGAATTTCGAAAACTACCCATGACTTTTCATTAATATTCAAATTGCAGCAACTATACAAGATTTAGTCAAATAATACCCCTAAACCCTAACAGCGTCTAACGCTGTTAACTCGAATGGAACGTCAAATACAGTATTGCCTTCACTTCATTGATTTTAACTTATTTAATAAAATATAATAAAAATTAGATTAAAAAAATTCACCTCAACGCATTCATCTTCCTCTTCTTACACATCAAATCTAACTTATTTAAAATGTTTTTATCATGTGAATTTGAGTCTGTTTAATATCTTTCTCCTATATTTATTGAAATTACAACATTACTCCTATTACACTAACAAGTTCTGGCAATAATATAAAAACTAAGGGTGCACTTGATTCATTATTTTGAACTTTTTAGAAAATATTTTAAAAAGATAAAATTTAGTAATTATTACGATGTAAGATTTGAAAATAACAAAAATATCTCTCTATGTTGTTTATTTACTAAACACCCGTATATAAAATATTAAAAATTAACAAATATTCCCACCCACCCACCCATTAAATACCGATAGCTGACCACCACCACCGAGAGGTAGCGGAGTTGCCGTATCGGTGCACGATCGGTGGATCTAACCGATCATGCGCCGATATGGCATTTTCTAATCAAATCTCGATTAGATCTACCATTGACGGTCAAATCTGGCTGCTTTTGATTGTCAACGACGCACAAAGATAGGCTATCGTTGATGATCAACGACGACCATGTCATGGCCATTGTGGACGACTGGCTATGACCAGATCTTGACTGTAAATCTGGCCTTTTCTGATCAAATCCACTGTGAATCTGACCAATAAAGGTTAGATCGACGCACTACCAACCAAATGTAACCATTAGTACGCCATTATACCAGATTCCGACCAACTTCTGACCGTGGTGGTTAGAATCTGACAAATGTGGATTGCTGGAGTGTTTTTGTCAATTTCTAAAAAAAAATTGAGGGGTGTTTAATTAAATAACAAATCTAGGGGGTTTAAAAATAATTAAAAATATAAAATAATATTTTAAGAATAAAGAAAAAATGTGTATTTTGGTTAGATATGAAATAGAGTAGTAAAAAATTGTGCACCAAAGGGGGTCCTTAATATTTTATCTTACTTGTACTCAGTTATTTGCTGTATTGAACAATTAGCAAATCACGCCAGATTTCGAGTTCATAGACTCAAAAAAGCAAAGCAGGTTCAATTTCAATCACAACGTCTAGAGAAAGGTAAATCAGTAATTAAGTCAACAATGTCCATAGATGTGTATCCAAATACAAGACTTCGAAACAGGGGAGAGAGTTCAAAACTTCTGATCATGGTTCATTGATAACAACAAAGTATTGGACAAAAATGAGAAAGGTCTTACTTCAAGAACGTTTGCTGGCGCCCATCTGGAATTGCAAACAGAACAACAGGCTTTGAGGGCTGGTGAAGGAACATCAATAGTAGTAGCTTCCTCTCTAGCTGCAAAACATCTCCACGTTTCAGATTCCGCATGTTTGAATCTCCAACTGCTGGAGTCTCGATTTTTGTGCATGGGTTGAGCACATCGAGGAAGTCCTCTCCTTCTTCAAGCTGCATCCACAATGGTCATAAGACACCAACCAATATCAGAACACAGCTAAAATAAGTCCATTCCATTCATGAATTTGGATTATATAACAAATCATGAGATTTAACTCACAAGATTACATCACTGCAAAATACTTTTGAGTTTTACAGTTTATAACAACAAAAATAATGCAATGAAAAGTTAGGTTTATCAGTTTATTGAGTGTACCTTCTTCTTTGTGATAAGGTAGTCAAATCCCATCAATGTGAGGTTAACTAATTCATTTGTTTCAGGTAGCCAGGTCAGCTTCAACTTTGTGGTCTTGACAGATCCTTCCAGATGCAGAATACCTGTCAACTGTGTGACATTCCCATCCGGGTCCCTACTTATTTCCTTCACTATGGCATTCCCCCAATCCATCAAGGTAATCTCCTCATCTACTGAGATGGATACGGCATCAGCTTGGTCTATCCATATCCTCTTTGTGTATGTCGTGGCTTTCTCTCCAGCACCTTCATATTTCTTATGCCTTGGCATGATGCGAATAAATGGTTCATCAGGACCATTGGTAAGGGTCAAAAGTACACGTCTCTCTTCAATGACAGCAGTGTGTCTAGGACACACAGGATCAATAATCTTCTTATTTATAGTCCAAAGTTTGTCCCATTCCATGAGATTGAGATTTTTCGAAGCCCCCTGAAAAGAAGGACAGAGAAGTTAATCTTCACATTAAATGAACTATAATCATTAACAAGCATAACGTTCAAGTATAAGAATAAACTGCATCATATAAAAAAAAATTTAACTATTTCAAGAGTATGAGTCATCTATATTATCTTACCTGTTCAAGAATAAACTGTATCAAAGCCTCAACTTTTAGACCCCTTCGCACAATTCCTTGAACAGTTGGGAACCGAGGATCATCCCACCCATCAACCTTTCCATTTTGAACAAACCAGAGAAGCTTACGCTTGCTGAGAAGTGTATAGACCATATTCAACCGGCTAAACTCATAAATGTGAACCTTCTTTACTCCCATATCCTCTTGAATTCTATGATACTGAGCATTGCGATCATGATACTCACTAGAACGAAGTGCATGAGTTATTCCTTCTTTAGCATCAACAAAAGGACATGCAAAATCATATGTTGGGTATAACTTGTACTTGGACCCAATTCAATGATGGGGAAGTGGATTGCAACGATAATAGACTGGATCTCGGAGAGATTTGTTAGGGTCTTGCATGTCTAACTTCCCACGAAGACAACACTGCACACCCCTTTCAGATCCCAAAATCATTTCCTTCCACAATTTCATATTCTCCTCTACACTATTGCTCCTACATTTTGGTTCAATCCCATCCATCCTTTCTTTCTGCATTTGCTCACGTGGTGTATCATCAACATAAGCCTTGCCCTGTTTAATCAAATTCTCAGCCATTTCCATCAAATCTGGGAAATAATCTGAAGTATAGGTAACTTCTTCATACTTGATCCCCAATGTCTCAATGTCTTTCAAAAGATTGTCAACAAATTCATTGCTTTCTTTAGCAGGGTTTGTATCATCAAAACGCACAATCAGCTGACCTTGGTACCTCTGGGCAAAATACTGATTCAATAGTGCTGCTTTTGAGTGCCCAATGTGAAGATAACCACTTGGTTCTGGTGCAAATCGCAAACGCACCTTGCCGATTTCAGCATCAGGAAGATCTACTTCAAAAGATTGACGGCTGCCTGCTTTTCCCTTTTCGGAAACATCCGCATTCACACTTTTTGATTGTTGGACACCCTGTTGCTCTTTTGATTTAGCTGCCACTGGCTTTCCCACTCCTCTCTTACCAACATACATTGACGTGACTTCATTCAAGGAGTCGCTATATTCTGTAGATACTGAGTTGAACCACCGTACCAGGTTCTGGTACTTCTTTGATTTCCTCAAACTTTCCCATCTTTGCCCAGTTCCTGCAAAGTATAAAGGATTAAGCATCTATAAGAGACATGATAAAAAATTTCAAAAGTTAAAAAAATAAATGAAAGCCTTGGAATGGTCTACCAGTGCCCAAAAACTGAAATCAGAAGGTATAATTCCTGATTACTATGGTTTCACCAAAATAAATTTCCTAATCGTCCAATATAAACTAGATGATCCTAACTTCATCAATTCTTGGTGCTTTCTAAGGGATGCAATAAAGTTAATGGTTTAGGGATAATCAAAGGTACTCAATCAAGACAAAAATTCCTGACATCCATCAAAGTCTCTCTAAATCCAAAAGAAAAGCAATAAAACCAATGAAACATTTGTATTCAAAATTGCCAACGAATAAACAGAACGCCAAAAAGTCTTAGCAAAAACCCATTTAAATGGCCCTATGGGAAACGAGGAAATTTGTTTTTCTGGACACATTTAACGGTATTTCTTGTTCTTTCTAAAGGATGTGAACCCCAAAACTGAACTACAACATATTTGCAATCTGAGGAAAGAGTCTATGCTTCTCATATTTACTTTGCAGTCAGCTTAAATATGCTCTAAAGGTATCGCACACTAACATAAATAGACAAAATCTGAAACCTTTACCAGCAAGAGCTGACCAGATTGCTATATCTGCTATTGACAAACACTGACCAACCACAACAGTACGCTTCTCAAGATATTTGTCCACATAGTTGCATGCATTCTCAAATTCAGAGCCAGATGAAAAGACCAAAACATATTCTAGCCACTCATCAATCTGAAAAAAGAAAAATAAAAGGAAAAAAGAGAAAGATACTTGTTAAGAACCAAAAATATAAAAGAAATCTACACTGCTGAACTTAAAATTTCATAACAAATACAATTCCAGGTAAGTGAGAGTGTAAAGAAACAGGCTAAAGATAATTACCTCGCCAGATTCATATGCATTCTGGCCGTACAAATTGGAAACTCTACCAATGTAACGAAGAAGAACATTCGTGCCATGCAATTTCAACCTAGAATAAAATTTAGGTTAAAATAACATTAATTGACATTTTTTTTTTTTTTTGCAAACTGATACATCAATAGGCAATAAATCAAAAAATCATGCTACCACTACATACAGAATCAGTAAACCCCAAACAGAGAACCCCGCCAAACAAATGTTAAAATTTTTTGTTCTAAGAACAAGCTCATGAGGAACAAAAAAATACCCATTAGAGAAGTGGAAAGTAGGATTACAGCCAGAAGGATCAGTTCGTAAAGATATGATGGCAAGCTTCGCAACNACTGTACAACTCAAAAGCATTTTGCAGCGAGGTGATCTTGTGAGTTAATCTCATGATTATGTTATATAATCCGTAAATTCATGAATGGAATGGACTTATTTATCTGGTGTTCTGATTTTGGTTGGTGCTTGTGACCATTGTGGATGCAGTTCGAAGAAAGAAAGGACTTCCTCGATGTGCTCAACACATGCACAAAAATCGAGATTCCAGCAGTTGGAGATTCAAATATGCGGAATCTGAAATGTGTAGAGGTTTTGCAGCTAGAGGGGAAGGGCTACTATTGATGTGATGTTCCATTTACCAGACCCTCAAAGCCTGTTCTGTTTGCAACCTCAGATGGGCTCCAGCAAACGGTCTTGAAGTAAGACCTTTCAGATTTGAGGTGTCCAATACTTTGCTGTGATCAATGAGCCATGATTCAGAAGCTTCTCTCTCTCTCTGAGACACATCTATAGACATTGTTGACTTTACTGATTTACCTTTCTCTATACGTTGTTGATTGAACCTTTTTTTTCTTTTTTTTTTTATAGTCTTAAATGATTGATTGCTAATTGATCAATATAGCAGGTGACAGAGTACAAGTAAGATAAAACGTAAGTTTTTGAATTGTATATTAGTTTTTGAAATTGATTTTTGGATTATGAAGTCTGTTTGATTCTTAATCTGATATTGAAACTGAGATGATGGCGAGATATTGAATAGACTGAGAAACAGATGATTTTGAATCTCCCCAGTTGGGTCTACCACAAACTGTTGGAACCCAGTAGAATATATGCATTTTGCATGTTGTTTATATTCTGTATTCATTCATTCATTCTTAAAACTCAATGTTGCCAGTGAAGGAGATTGTGCTCGGGATTATTTCAATAGTCTCTCGTAAAGTTTGGTTACATTTATACATATTCAATTACCTGATTGATGTTAGATTTGAATACAATTTTGCATTTTCAAAAATGAAAATAATCAAGAAATCATGTTACATGTTTGATTGAAATGTGAAATATATGGTTAAAAATGAATGAAAAATTCGAATTTAAAAATAACTATTAATTTGGCTTAGACACTTTTGATCTCACTTATTATTCGATTTAAGTTTGTCTCATGTCATGATTTTGACTACAAATTCACAAATAATAGGTGTGTATAGTGGGTAAAAAAAAATTAATTCACTAATTAGGAGTTACTATAACATAATCCCTAAAAAAATTGATTCCCAATTTGCATCTTCATTTCATTTCAATCGGACTTCATTCTTCACAGATTTCGTTCACTTCATCCTTCAAATTCCATCTCCATAACTGCATCTTCAATCTTTTTCATCTTCTTCACTCTAAAGTATAAACTGTAAAGTCTAAAGAAGATCAAAATCGAATTTTCTTCAACTTCAATGACGAGGATTTTGCGGGTTTATTCTCATTTGCAGTTTCAGAATTCTACTTTCGGCTTCCCTGACAACCAGGTGTGGGGGTGTTGTGGTCGCTTTTCTTGTTCTAGTTTTGCTTCTGTGTTATTAGGCCTGTTTTGTTGGGTGAGTGGGCGGCCTAATCCCTGCTACTTTAAGGTGTTTTCCTGGCTGCCCGTTGGTTGTCGTTTTATGATGATGGAGGGTGGTTTTTTGTCTTGTGCTATTTAAGGGTATTTTTGCAACATTTCAAAATTTTAAGAACTAACGAATTATTTGAGGCATTTTTTAAATAAATTAAAATTGCAAGGCCTAGTTTGCGATTCTTAGGAGTTTTTTTGTAATATACTAAAATTGGAGGGACTAACTCACAATGTTTAAAACTGTTTTAATTGCTGACATCACCGGTCTAACTGGCCGGTCCAACCGGTTGGACCGATCGACTTGTGACCCAATCACCTTATCCAGTTCAAGTCACACAACATATCGATTTTAAAACAATGCCACTAGGGGCTGCTTTGCAAGCTGGCTTGTTTTGGGGTCTGCTTTTGCCTCTACAATTTTTGGTTCAGTTTTTTTTCATGTCTAGAAGTTACGATGCTTTTTTTCCTGCTAGAGTGCTGGTCTGGTTTCCATGATTTGGTTTTCTACTGGAGCGTTGACATCAACACAATGATGTCACTGGTCCAATCGATTGGACCGATTGACTTAGGACCCAATCAATTGACCGAGTTGCTCTCCAGTCTAGGTTTTAAAACAGTGCCCCAGATAAGAAAAAGAAAATTGCAATGTACTCGAGTGAAATGTTCTAGAGTTTCAAGATGCAAGAAACCTTCACACATCACCATTAAAATAATAAAATTATGAAATGTTTTAACACAGATCTTGAAATTAGCATATTGTTGTGTTGGGAAATAGAGAAAATAAATAAAAATATATCCTAGAGATCTTTGAAATAGTCATGCTCAAGTGCTTCCTGAGGTGTTATCCTCTGCTCTGGATCCAAGCATAGCATTCTCTGGTAAAAATTTAAACATGAATAAAAACAACAAAAGATGACTTAAAAAACTAAAAAAAAATTCACAAAATCTGCTTAAATTTGATGACAAATTAGTAAATTAAATCAAACTTACTGAGATAAGGTCAATTCCAGCAGGTTCAAGACCTGGAAACGTTTTTGTCAAGTCCTGCAACATAAAAAATAATTTACATAATGTACTCAATCTCATTCAAAATAACTAAATTCTAACCTCTTTTACTTACCTTATAATCAAAATTTTTAGAAAGGGTTAAAAGACCATCAGCAGTAATTTCAATTTTGCCATATACTTCTGGCTTTGGTTCGCCCAAGACCCTATACGAGAAATTTTCAAGTTTGTTAAACAGTATCCCAACTTTTAATCCCAATTGATATAACTGTTAGCAAGGAAATTTAAAGTTAGAATCTCAACGTTGCATATATAGTATAAATGAAACTTTTTAAGATGTATAAAGAGAAAAATACCCGAAAATACTCGCAACCAAATGTAACCAAGTATTAGAACGAAACAAAGGCTGCCCAGTTAGCATCTCACCAAAGATACAGCCCACAGCCCACATATCAACAACCTTGGAGCTTCCATTAAAAAGTATTTCAGGTGCTTGGTAATAAAGACAGGCTGCCTTCAGAGCTACTGCCTGCAATGAAATATATATTGTTATTTTAAGGATTATTTTTGGAGTTAATTGCTCTCTCTCTCCCTCTCTCGCTCTCGCTATATATATATATATATATACACATTCCTTTTAAAACTGTCATAAGAGAAAATTTTACTCTTTTGAATGCTTGAAAGTTGAGTGAAATTTTCAGTAAACCATCAACTCATGCCTGATAGAATTTGAGATGAGTCTGACTCCTCACCTAATAAGATTTTATTAAATGGAAGGATTACCCACTCTTATAAACCAGGAAGTTTGAGCGTGCCTAGTTAGTGTGAGACTCAAATACCCCCCTTCACAGTCAAAGCCCATATGTTGGGTCATGCCTGTTGATGGAGATAGTTGTTAGCTCTAATTTCTCACCCGTTGGTCAAGCACTCAGCTCATGATAGAATTTGAGATGAGCCTGACTCCTCAGCCAATAAGGCCTTGTTGAATAAGAGGATTACCCCCTCTTATAAACCCTTAAGCTTGAGCGTGTCTACTCGGTGTGATACTTTAACAATGCCAATTGAAGAGATTGGTGCACACACACGCACAAGCAATTGGAGAGAAAAATATGTTACCAAACTAGTACCACATCAACAATATCGATCAAAAGCTAATGCATGCATGCAAGTCACATGAGGATTTAAAATAAGAACTACTGATCAAATTAATTGTAAAAGACTGAAGAGTGATTAAAAATAATAATATCACATGATATAAAGACATAGACTAACTTATGATATGGCTGATGCGATACCTTCGTGGTATTCTAGATTTTTTTCTTATCAATATAACAGTAGGATCATAAAACCAAAAGAGTGAAAGATTAATATTAATACCGGGTTATCCAGACACCAATCACTCACGAGATCGTCCATACTCTTAGGCTCTCCAAAGTAAGCAACCTTTACTCTCTTACTATCTGGATCAAATAGCACAAATTCAGGTCTCAAATCTTCATGGATACAATTTTGAGACCGCAAATATTCTATACCACGAAGAATCCCTAGAAGAATATGCTGCAGTTGGAAGAAATCTGATCAAAATCTACAACAATTAACCATCTTTCAATAATATTTCTAGATAATGAAATCAAGTATTTATTGAAAATTTTCAATTACACAGTTTGAATTTGGTCTCTTGAAACTAAAATAATGTAATTAATGCCCAAAAAAGAAAAAAATCAGGTTGTTGCCATAAGAAATATTGTAACCAAAAGATAATAGGTGTGTGCTACATATTAGACCAAACAAGAACCTATTACTACTATTATCTTTTAGAGATTTGCCTCTTGGTAATATATAACTTTCAACGGTTTCCTTCCTCGAAAATGTTCTTATCATCGAGGGTGATGTATCTCGAAAATAGTTTTATTTCCACCGCTCCCAAGAAAATATTTTCCAACAAGAGAAATAATGGTAGACTCCTACAATTTTTAGCCCTTTGGAAAAACATTTTCCGAGTTCCATTACCACAAGATTTAGCCCTCATAAATATTCATTTTGTTGCAGTAACCCCTGAGGGGGATAGAGATCGCGGAGTGAAAAGAATCCTCTATAAATGGGAAATGAAACTTCAGTTTATACGAGGTTTGTGATATGTTTATTGACTAATAATGAGCAAATAAAAAGGTCCTTTTGCTAAACAGGATGTATTGAACCCATACTTCAAAGTTTTAAATAGCATTTGAAACTATAGTCCTCTTTTCCCATTTTGATGACAATTTTATCAAATTCGTCTTGAATATTGATTCACATTCAGATCACATGTAAAAGTGAAAAGAAATGATATGGTAATGCATCTAATTAAAACCTCCTGTAAGAATATATGCTCAAGTGAAATCTAAGTTGACCAGTGACAACCAATAATAACTTAAATTAAATGAATTAAGAAACAGCTTTTATTGGTATAATTTTGATATCAAGATTTGACATACCTTTATGGAGACTTGATTCTCAATCGTTGCCTGCCTTCTTCCAAAATCATCCAAATCCCACGTAGGTTCTCGAAAACAAGATACAAAAAAGTATCATCAATTTCTGTTCCCAGACACCTGTAACAACATTTCTATTAGTTACTTATTTTCTAAAAGAAGCACAATTACTGTCAATTAAAGATTTTTTACATATTGAACAGCCAATAGGCATTCAGAAAAGAAAAAATAATCTCATCCACAACAATATTAAAGTAAAAAAAATTATAAGAGCCTGCTCCATATGAATTTAAATACATTTGTTGTTTTCAAAAACAACTGTACAAGAAATTAACAAAAGGTTTAGTTAATAATTCAAAAACAATTTTAGGATACAATCCTAAAACTAGTGCAATTTTCACACAGTTTTTAACTCAGTAAACAATTTTATTTTATACCTGGTGACATTCGGATGGTCACACCCATGATCTTAAGATTTCACGTGTGATCAAGCTTGGGGATTCTAAGTTTGGGAGTTCTCCAGTTCATTTGATTTCTCAATAAATTTAAAAGCACACCCGACCTGTGTCTCTCTCAACACCATTGCGACAGACCATATTTGCTATCTCTAATCGTCATATCTACTGTATACTTTTTATTCATTGCATCACTTGGAAAACGCTTACGTGAATAATACATATTTGGAAGTGTTATGACAATGCCCTGCACAATCAAACAGGAAACAAGAAAGGCCAGTAAATAGAGCCTAAAAGTTTAAAACATAAGAAATAATAGAAACAAGAATGGAAAGAAGTCACCTTTAACGTCTTACAACAACATATTCTTGTCTACATCCATTGGCAAACATAAATTGCCACAAAATGCTTTATAAATTGAATTCATTCAATCAATTATCTGATAACTTCGATTTAAATGCACAATATTTTAGTACATATGACTTTGAAACACAACAATAAGAGAGAAAATAATAAAATAAATTATAGAGTTATTAATATCAAGACAATATTAATTGACACTCAGTCTTTCAAAGACTACAAACTCCTTTTAGATATCAGATTAATTATCAAAAATCTCCCAAAAATTATTTTTAAAACCCTAAAATTATTATTTATTTCTGAAAATGGTAGTTTGCACTTTTACCTCAATTTCAGCCCAATCTCTTAAAGTGTAACGAAAATGAAAATGATATTAGCAAAATTAAAATTAAGATTAAAGGAAAAAAAATATGGCTCCAAATATGTGAAAAAAGCGGCAAAATTAATTGCAAATTGAAGAGACCGTTTGAGCCAAAAAAAAAAAAAAAAAAAAGAGAAGAAGAAAGTGAAATTGGCTAGACGACAAAGAGTGATATTTACCTAGAAAATGAAAAATGAAGCATGGTCTCGCCGGAGTGATGCTGATTAGAAATAACAGGAGATACCGGAGCGAAGTCTGACGATATGCAATTGGCATTTACAACTTAAAAAACGAATTGACATTATATATTTGGATTGGTCTTTTAAAGTCTCCGGCGGTTTGCCCATACCGATCCCCCCTATAAGATTGGTAATTATTTAAACCCCTACGGTCACCGTAAGTTTTCTTCCGTTAGTTTTAACGAAATAGCTAAATGGCCTTGATGAGTTCATCTGATATCCCATTAGGGGGTTTGGTTCAGGAATGTTAGATTACTAGAAATATTAGATTACTAGAAAGATAGATTACCTTGGAAGATTACTGGGAACTTTAAGAAAATATGTTTGGTTATTTGGTGGGTATGTTTTATTAATATGTTTGGTTATGGGAATAATGGTGGGTATGTTTATTAATTACTAAATTGACCCTCTTTTAATATTAATATAATATTATTTTATTATAATTTTTGAATAATTTTTTAACCCCCATATTTCAGATTTAGCTAAAACACCCCTGCTTAAAAAAAACTTTAATTCATGACGAACACCCCCACCTCCTGCCGCCGCCTGCCGCCACCGCGAACAACCGCGGAAAATCCCAGAGCCCCTAAAAACACTGAAATTATGTGGGAGGCTCCGGGAGGCTTCGATATGGCCGTTTCGGCCATCAATATGGCCGTTTTCGGCCATCAAATGGCCAAAACGGCCATACGAAGCCTTCGGAGCCTCCCACAGAATTTTCAGTGTTTTTAGGGGCTCTGCGATTTTCCGGTAGTGGTCCGCGGTGGTTGACCCGCTGTCGGCGGTGGGCTGGTGGCTGTGGGTGTGGTGGCTTGGTGCAGTGGGGTCTGTAATTATTTTAAATATAGGCATTATTGTCCAAATTTTTAATAAAGGGTAAAATTGAAATAGGATATTAATGTAAATTTGTTTTAAAGTAGGGGTATTATTGTCCAAAATTTTTATTAATAAGGGATAAAATTGTAACAAAAAAAGATAACCCTGGTAATCTCAGAAAACCTAAGAAAATGGAGGTAATCAGATTACCTCTTATATTACCAATAGTAATCATTATTGGTATTTAAAGATTACTGGCATCTTATATTACTTGACAACCAAACGTGGTAATCAAGTAATATAAGATGACATTACCCCAGTAATGTTACTTAACCCCGAACCAAACTGCCCCTTAGGGGCGTTTGGTTGGAAGTAATATGGGATTACCAGAGATATGTTATCTTATATTATTAAATGATCACGTTTGGTTGTAAAGTAATATAAGATTTCGGTAAACTTCAAATACCAATAGTAATTACTATTAGTAATATTAGAGATAATCTAATTACCTCCATTTTCGTAGGTATTCTAGGATTATCAGGGTAATCTTTTTTTTTTTTTTTGTTACAATTGTATCACTTATTAATAAAATTTTGGGACAATAATGCCCTTATTTTTAATTTTATTTACATGAATATGGTTTTTACTATTTTATCTCAATTAATTAACTTTTTGGACAAAATTACCCTTGAATTCAAAACAAATTACACCCCACCCCACCCAAGCCACCGCCCCCACCCACCTGTCGATGCCTGCCCCGATAGCCACCTCCGTCGCCAGAATAGCGCACGAAAGGCTGAAAATGGTCGTCGTGCACTGCTATGGCCATTTCCAGCCAGATATCTGGCTGAAAATGGCCAGATTGTGATAGATCTGGCCGTTGACGGCCAGATCCGTCGATCTAACAATCAACGGCCAGATCGATGGTCGTCTGTCATTGATGTGGTTGTTGACGACCGATTGACAAATGTGGCCGTTGACAGCTAGATGGAGATCGATGGTCGTTAACGACCAGATCTGTCACGATTTGGCCATTTTTGACCAGATCTCTAGTCGAAAATGGCCATACGGCACACGGAGGTCATTTCCTGCTTTTTGTGCTGTAATGCCCCACTTGAGGTACGTAGTTAAGATTTGCTATATTGCTTAAACGTTCATTGATTCAGTTTTAATTAAGTTCGTATGTTGAGTTGGTTGAGTGTTTGCCCTAAAACTTTTGAAGACTTGGTGAAATGTTGTGTTACAGGCTTCGCTGGGGTGAAGAAGAATCTTCGCCACGGCAAAGAGGTGTTGCAGTCCATGGGTAGCTGCTAGAGTGTTTCGCCGCGGTGACGTTTTGTCTTTGCCGCGGCGACGGGTCGGCTAAAAAGTTTTATTAAGTTTTAGATATTTTTTCCTTAAGGGCAATTTGACCATTCTACCCCTAATTTTAATCTAAAGCATCCTAAGGTAAGGATTCTTGCTTTAGATGAGAGTTTTATGATGTTTTGGTTAAAGTCTTATGTTTTGGTTGTTATTTAAAGTTGTAGAGAGGAATCAAGCTACTAAAGAAAAGGAGAAGTATTAGAGAAGCTATTTCCTCACAAGGTAAGTAAATCCAACCAAGTTGAGATTCAGTAATCTTTTGAGTATAGATTTATGTATGTGTAAGTATGTTGTTGAGAAATTAAGATGAGTTGAATGTTATTTATACTTGTTGTTGCATATACTTAAATATGAGAAGTGTTGAGATTGCTTGATGTTGGGTTGAGTTTGATTGAAGTGGAAGGAAGTTTTGAGCAAATTTATAGAAGTGTTTTCCTTTGACAGGGAAATTAGAGAGTATAAGAGAGCCTTTCTCCCATTTTGGGTGATTAAAGAAAAGAGAAAAGTTATAGTTTAAGTAGAGTTTTATATGCACATGAGTTGTATGATGAAATGCTCAAGAGAAGCATGAGTAAGAGTAGAAAGCCTTAATTTTTGCTACATAGCATAATTGCATCTCATAAGTGCATTAATGAACATGAGTCACATATGTGCATTAATCATGCATTAACTATGCATTAGAAAAAGAAAGTAGAAGAGAGTAGAGAAATTGAGTTTAAACTACTCTAAGAGTAGAGAGAAAGAGAGAATGAGCACTAGAGAATAAAGAGAAAGTAGTGCTAGACAAGAGAATAAAGTAGGTTATGCGATGGGGAACTTGTGAGTATGGGTAGAGTATTCCCACATGTACGCCGCATTGAGAGAGCGGCATAAGTATGAGAGAGAAGTGGTGTAGCCTGTGAGAGTGCATGCGGATGAGGGTTATACCCGAGTTTACCCAAGAGAGAGTTTTATACACTCACATGGCCAAGGGTTCTGAATCCATGCGTAACCAAGTCCGATCAGCTAGAATAAGTAAAAGTCATGGAGAGTGGGAGTGAGTCCCAGCCATGCCTCCGGTCAGATGGGACCGTGACTCGTTAGAGAAAGAGTTAATAGAAAAGAAAGAGAAACAGAGTGAGAGAAATTGAAAGAGAAAGCAAAGAGAGTAATGGGAATTGTAAGGAAAGAATTAGAGAGAGAGAGTTACGGGGATAGATGAGTAGAGGATTTACTTACTGAGCATTAGTTGTGCTCACCTCGTTGTTTTCCATGTTTTGCAGGATCTAGGTGAGGACACGGTCGGATGGGCGTTGGCAAGCGAAGGGAAATGGCTATACTGTCCACCTTGTTTTTGATGCTTTTGTACATGATATAACTTTTGTGTAAAGAATGTATATATTTAATAAAAGAAAATTTTGGGCCCAACTATTTATGTTATTTTACATGTGTTTTCACTATGTATATTTTATGAGAATACGAGTAGAAAGCAGTCATTACATTTTTGGTATCAAAGCAGAGATTTTGGGATTTGACAGTGTACCATTCTCGTTGCTACGATGTCCAAGAGCCGACTGTGTAAGTAAATTCTTTCCTTACATTAGGTGTTCTCTTGAATTGATCAAGCGTGATCGTTTTGTAGATGAGACGTAGTAACCAGAAGAAGGGCAAAAGTGTGATGAACGAGGGAGAACCCTCTAACCCACCAGAACCAACTCCCCCTACTTTCGATGAGGCGATGATTCGAAACGTAGTATAGCAGATGTTAGTTGAGAGTCAGGGGAGAGTTGTACCGGAAAGAATTGAGACCCCTAATAGAGGACCGATCACAAGACAAGAGCGAGAAGGGCCGGTACCTCAGACAATACAGAGTCGGATTGATCCGATTCAGGGGCTTGCAAGCCAGCATCAGCTACCAGAGTTTAGGGGTACTAGGAACTCGTTAGAAGCAGAAGAGTGGTTTAAGTCCGTAGAGCGGATGGTGGCTTTGTTTCCCATGAATGATAGAGAGAGGATCAGATATGCTAGTTTCTTATTTCGGGGAGATGCTCGAATTTGATGGGAACTAATGGAAGAGACTCATGACTTGGCCTTGATGACTTGGGAAGAATTTAGGAGACTGTTTGAGGCTGAGTATCGAACAGAAGATCGAGTGCACGAGAAAGTCCAAGAGTTTATTAATTTGAAGCAGGGGACTAGTACAATGAAAGTATTTTGAGTAAGATTCAACTCCCTTGCTCGATTTGCACCTGGAATAGTGTACACTCCGATTTTAAGGAGGGACAAGTTTGTGCAAGGGTTGAGATCTGATATTGCCCGAGATGTGATGACAGGAGTCGAGCCTCCTCATACCTACAGTGAGGCTTTGACAAGGGCTTTAAGGGCAAAGATTTATGTAAATAAGCATATTGCAGAAGGGCTATCTTCACAAGTATTAAGTGAACCATCCACTACCTCACAGAGAGAGAGAGTAGAGGTTACAAGGAACAGAGAAGTGGGCCAAGAAAAAGATTCAACCCAAGAGGGATAGGAGAGACTAGCAGAACAAGCGGCCTAGGACAGAAGGGTTTCCTCCTTGTGCTAAATGTGGAAGGGACCATTTGGGAGTGTTTGAAAGATAGAAACGTGTGTTACAAGTGCCGACAGCCAGGGCATCTGAAGAGGGATTGTAAAGTTCCTCTCCTACCTGCAGCTCAGAGTTCGAGAGGTACCAATGCCAGAGTTTTTACAGTGGCACAGGGTGAAGCTGAGGCCAGTCCATCCGCCGTAACTGGTCAGTTGTTATTCCATGCTATTTCTTTATATGCTTTAATTGATTCTGGGGCTACCCATTCTTTTATATCGCATGGGATGATAGAGAGGTTAGGTTTGAAACCTACTAGAGTGAGTCAACCTATTAAGATTGAGTTACCTGATGGGGT